GCTCAGAAATTGACGTTTCCTATTAAAACTATCCAAATTTCGACACCCTGTACAACGTTTTATCTACAAAGCCAAAAATAAGAAAATGTTTTTATTTACACCCCCATACGTAATGTTAACATTCCTGACTTTTCAAAATTTGAAAGTGAGACTATCCTCCCGGGTGTAAAGTGCTCACTTCCCACCTGGGTGGAAAGTAAGTCCTCATTTCCTAAAATGTTAAAGACAAGTCCTGCATGTCAAACGTTTTTTAGATAAGTCAGAACTTGTCAACAGATTTTTTGAATTTTTATTTAGTATTTAGTTAGAAATTGTGATGGTTGTAATTCTTGTAAATAAAATGGTATACAAACCTCGGTAGGAAGTTTCATTCCTGTCTCGAGATTATAACTAATCTCTTGATAGTAATGAAACATTTCCCACCTCGGTATGTAATATACTATTATGCACGAACGGGCGTAAAAGTGCACTTTTACGCCCGCATTTTAAAGCGTGAAGTAGTACTTTTAGGCCCTAGGGCGCCTTTTATGCCCGCAAGCCTGAAAGTTTCAAAAATAATAGCTATTTATGTACCAAGGGGATTATGTAGATTATAATGCCCGAAGGCGAAACTAGCCCGAGGGCCTATGGCCCGAGGGATATATTTCGCCTGAAGGGCATTATAATCTTGAAATCCCCGTGGTGCATACAATGCTTTATTTTCTACTCGACACAATGTTTTTTCATCAATTTGTTATTAACAAAATCAGTCAAACTTGTGTGACAGAATATTGTTTTGTATTTTGACATGTACCTGTACCTGTGACCTGTACCTGTACCTGCGACCTGTACATAGAAACGAAATACATTAATATATCTATAAACATCTCATAAGGCAAGGCAACGGTGGTGGTCCTGTGGGTTAACGCGCTGGACTACATGGGAAACGTTGATGGTAGACCGGGTTCGAATCCTGGCTAGACCGAAAATTATTTTCGGTCAGACATTTAGTGGCTGCCTAGGGTAAAGTGCAAATTAATAGAACAACAACAACAAAAACACCTTAAGGTGTTATAAGCGGGCGTTATAGATCATAACGCCCGCAAAAGCGGGCGTTATGGATCAGGTTGTTATAGGTGTGTTAACGTATTTCGTTTCCTAGGTATTATGGATCTATAATAGTAAAGTAGAAAATAAAGAAAAATACGTCATTTTTTTTTAAAACTTTTTGTATTTCTATTGCTTAGTCCAAAAAATACCAACTTTTTTCAACAAAACAAGCTTTATTTCAATTAATAAGAATAATGAAATAAGCAATAATGGTAAAATTCAATCTACTTTGAAATTGAAAATACAATTTTTACAGTTTTTAACTTTTAAAACCGGCCCTTCCACAAAAATACACAAAAGAACTGTTGCCTTCAACATTGAGTAAAAGCTGCATAGGGTGGATGGCCTTTTTTTTTTGTCGTATTTTTCATATTAATGTATATGCCAGGCCAGGAGAGTTTCTTCTACAAAGTACTGCTGCTCATTTACACTATGTTGGGCACATCAGGAAATAAAGTCCTCATATGTTTTTTCATAGAGTCTTTTGGACTTTGAAGGTATACATGTTTCTTGGCCTCTTCAAATGCCTCAAGAATAAACTTGGGCATGCTATTTTGCTCCATTTTCAGACGCACTACCATCATAAGAATACCATACACGTACACTACACAGCACATAATTATTTGTTTGTATTGTTCTGGGTTGCTATAATAGTTACGTGATAAAACAACTGCTTCCTTGATCTAAATTTGACAAAAACTTAGGACGTATTGCGGTAAAGATGAAAATTTATATTTTGAAATATTTTTGATTGATGTCATTACAAAAGTGAAAATCTTTAATTTTTTAAATATCAAAATGAAAACAGGCTCATCGTGCATAAAATCTTGTATGCACCTCAGTCAAAAAGAGCATTAACGCCCTCAGCGTGTAAACAGCCCTCGGCTAACGCCTCAGGCTGTTACACACGCTGCGGGCGTTAAAGCTGTACTTTTTGACCTAGGTGCATAAATAACTATTTCGATTTTCATTTATCAGTAGCTGTCTACCTTCATCCTACCTTTACAGGTTCAACTATGACATTTTTTTGTCAAATCACAAAAACTAGTAGTTGTGTTATGGATTCATAAGTTAGTCCATAACATCACTGGTTCTGGAGTCTCATAACATAACTTAAATATTAGAAAAGTGGTTATGTAAAAACGTCATTACCAAACGCTTGTAGATAATAGTTATTCACATTACAAGTGACAAGTGAGTTTATGAACATGATTACAATAACGAGTGTGGAAGATTAGTTCTAATCACATGAGTTTTGTAGTCATGTTTAAACGCACGTGTGCTGTAGGTAGGTACAACGTTTTATCTACAAAGCGAAAAATAAGAATGTTTTTCAATGATTTTTCTCTATTTATTCATTTTACCTTTACAGGTTTAACTTTGACATTTGCCAAACCACCAAAAATAGTTGTGTAATAGATTCATAACCTAGTCCAAAACACCACTAGTTGTATTATGAGTCTCATGACATAATACAAATACTAGAAAAATGGTTATGTAAAAACGTCATAACCAAACGCTTGTAGATAAAATAATACAAACAACTCTCGAAGAAAACAAAGAAAAGCAACTAAGCAATGATAGAAATAGGTCAAGCATAGGCGAGAATAAAGATGGAGTGGCAGCTGAGATACAGAAAGAAGGGAAAAAAGTAAGGTTAACTATCAACAGTGAAGAGAGACTAGCGAGATGGAATAGAAGCCTCCTAATTCTGCTCTTCTGAAAAAGTGATAGACTGACATCCAAAAACTACCAAACCATCTTGTTATTATACCAAATAAACCAGTTTATTGAAATCGTCACCTGAAATGGACAGCTAACAGCCCGTTGAACAGGCTGGGTTCTGCTATGATTTTAGTGCTCCTGATCATAAAAATTCTCATATAAATCTTCCATATGTCGCTTTCTTGGACTATAAACAGACATTCGATAGGGACAAATACCGAAACTTGATAAAATCGACCAGACGGCAAATTGCTCAAAAAACAAAGTATGGATCCTGAAGAACCAATAGATTCCACTTTACCTGTGAAGAAAAAGAATTCTCAAGATACTCTGGACGTCGAGAATGGCAAAGAAATGGAATGGAAACAGGATATATCGTCGACAGAATTTGGAGAAGAGGAAATAAGTATAGAAAGACCGAAAAGAAAATATATGTATTGTCTGGCTAGCCAAACGGCGAACTGCAATGGAATTTGCTTCTTTGCCAAACTTGACTAAAACAATAATAAACAAGTTGGTGTTTTTTTTCTACAATATGGGCATATGTAGTATTTTGAAATAGAAAAACATTTGGCAACATAGCGAAATGTTGAATATGGAGAGGCGTGATTATTCAGAAGCATGATTCTATTGGTTAGAGCCTGAACGACAGCACCAGTGGCGTGGGTATTGGCGAAATTAAAGATTTTTTTTTCTAATAATTTTATTAGTTTATTTCCTTGGTGTTTTTGGTACCACTGAACCCAAAGATATTGTTGTCATCAAGCGGTGTCAGTTGGGGTATCAGTGAATATTCTTAAGTTACGCCACACATCTCAATCCATCAAGCCTCTGTCTCTCATTTCCTCATCTATCTCATCCACCTTCGGTCTATCGCGTCTTCTTCTTCCCCCTGGCTTCCACTCAACGAAAAAAATACTATTTAAGAAGAGATATCACAGGAGAAAGAGGTCAAGTGCTAATAGGAGTGAAAGAAATTTATAAAAATAACATGAAAGACTCATTGCATTTTTGGTTTAAAAAAGACAGCGAGCGAACAACTAGGGATAAGGCAGTGAAAATAGGTGAACTAAACTAAATTGGAAACAAGCAGCATACAACTGGGGCGTTGACTGGCAAAGCTAAAGAGGACGAATATAATAATAATTAATATCATTGAGCAGAACATAATACAAGGGATTATTGTATAGAGGCAGCTGCTTATTAATTGCTACAGTGTCGCATTATATCTCCTTATTATATATTTTGGATCAATTATAGTTGGAAGAAACATTTGAGTTAATAAATCAGATGCCATTAATAACAGTTTTTTTTTTACTTTGATGAAAAAATATTTGAATTTGTACCATCCCTACTAGTTCTGGTTCGATCGCCAACCCAAACTAATCCCAGTATCTTATTTAAAAGGAAAAATCTCTCGACTGCATACATATAAATGAACTTATATACCTTCTCCATGTTCAGACCAATCCAAGCCAGGTCTTTTCTCTTTCAGTTTCTTCAAAAATATGGGCATTATAGTGCTCCGCGTTCTAAATTTCTTTGCTTTAACATTTTCAGTTCTCTCGGGAACAATACCTTCATCTCCGCTCAGGTCACCGTCTTTTTTCTGAAGCATTCGCGAGAAAACCGTACTTCTTCTTATTTTTCTTTTTTTAAGGTAGTTGCCCGATTTAATTTCGGGTACAGAATCTTCAATAAAAACTTGCATATTTCTATTTGAGGGTTGGGCACAACTTAGAACGTGTTGGTATTTTATTGCTCCTGGTGGTTTGAAACCTTGAACAATATTTATTTAGAGTTGAAATTTTAAATTTGAATAGGATTTTTGTTGTTACCAGACACGGAGTCTTTTGACAAAAGTTTGCCTTGAACTTCCAGAAATTCTGAAACTCGGCGTTTGTATTCGTCAGAATCAAAGAATTGGCACAACTTATTGGCATCTTTTTGCCTTAGCTTCTGTTTAATTTGTTCCGGATGGCTTATGAAGTAAGAAAGATTTTTCCACAGATACTCTTTATCGAGAATTCCATTTTTATAAAACTTACTGTCTTGCGGCACACGAATCATTTTCTAAAAAGTATGTTTTTGTAAAACTTAAAACCAAAAATTGTGTCAGATTCAAGGCACTTACAGCACAACCTCGTACGTTTTTCGCCAGGAAGTACATGGCACACGAAAATTTGGAAATTTGGAAATTCGGATTATTCCCGAAAAATGTTGCGACTGAAAAACTGACAGGAATTTATTGAATTTGACGTTTCTGGTCACCGGTCAACTTCAAACATTTTTTTAACTAGTGGCCGCAGGTCAACGTCAAAATTCACATTTGTGTCAAAAATTTATCGTTCGATTTTTGTGTCCACGCTTCATGTAACAAAATTCGTTGTGATGAACTCATTCCTCAGAAATGTCAAGTCAATTAATATCCCAGTAAGTATCCCTACAAATATTACGTTAAGTCGGACATCTTTGAACAATAATTATTAGCGTTTGCTTTTAGAACCATCAGAATGCTTCAAAAATTTGTCAAAAATATGCTTGAAGATTGTTTGGCTGGACACTGTTTAAGTATTTGATACTTGTCCCATTTTTTTGTTGGTCTTCCAATTATCGATTCTAATCGTCTAATGGTGAATCTCGAAAAAATACCTCACAATTCAAGTTCAAGATTTTTCAACTAAAACCATTTCAATTTACAGGCTTAATGGCGCATTTGACTCTCAAGTACCTACCTAATTTTTGCATAGCTATACTTTATGTATACTATACTGTATACCTATTGGTTTTTTACACATTCAGTTGATCTGAAGGTTTTTATTCATAAATACCTAACCTAAAAATATGGACATATTACAGGCAAACATGATCTTCTGCTTTTTGTGAATAAATGGAAAGTGATGATTGTTATCTTCTTCTTCTTCTCCTTCCTAGTCGTCCTCTATTCTCTGTATAAGGGCCTCTCCCAGATTTTGTCAGTTATTTCTAAGTATTCTGTGCAATCTGGTACCAGTTTAGTCCGCTGCTCTTTGTAGATTTTAATCTTGTTTTGACATCCTTCTGGCTATTTTGTTAGTCTCTCTGTATTCTAGTGTATGTTTTTTCTTTGTTTTTCTATTTTCTACTAAATTTGTATAGTTTTGAAGGAAATTGTCGAAATCTTGGTTGCTGCAAAAAGAATTGCATTTTCATGATAATTTGCCAAAAGAACTTCATGATGAACCAAATGATTTTCGTAACTACTTTCGCATGGACGAATCAACATACCAGCACTTGCTTAATTTCGTCGAAATTATCTGCGCATTTTGATTGAAGTAAATTTACAATGTCAGATATCTGCATCAATATCAGTTAGTTTTCAGGACGAAACAAATTTTACACAGGCGAAATTTTTTAATTGCGCAAATTAAATTTTTCTATTTGCATTTAACAAATTACCTATATGCACAAAGTAGCAAGCCGATATGTACAAATTAACTAAGAAATTCTAAACCTCTCTCAGGCTCAGTTTCAGAAATCTCAAAGTGGTCTAACATCTTTAGATTCGTTTCTAGACGAAGATCTAAAGTATCCGTGTGGGTTGTCGACTACATAATTCTGATTCCCTCCTATAATCAGAGACATCACTTTGTTGTTTGCAGTGAAAGTAAATTAAGAAAAAAACGCAATAAATGCCTTATGTACCTAATTGAAGCTCCCAAAAACTTAAAATCCTTGGGAAATATATCAGGTCTGAAATTTAAATATGTTGTAGCCGACACCAAAATAAGACTTTTTCATTATTGCGCCAAAGCTCTAGGTCTACCAGGCCTGCTCGAATAGTAAGGCCAAAGTAATAGAAACGTACAGGGTCTGTTCCTCATAATTAGTGCGGCTCCTACAACTTAAACAAAGGAAAATGCAAAAAAAAGTTTTTTTTATTGATAACCTATTTTACTTATTTAAAGTACTCCTCAGCGTGTTTAAATCCAACATTCAAAAACGCGCGTGTTTTAATAAAGATACCATGACAACATCAACAACCTCCCGAAAGGTAAAGTCTAAATGTCAACTTTTTAATTATGATTTGTCAAACAACAAAGGTATACCAGATGTCACATCACGAATTTAGCATTCTACAATTATTAGTAATTTATGATTTGAACCTATTGGTACCAATAAAAAAAAAATAGTGTAAAGTATTCGTGGATAATATCCACTTATACTTTAATATACTATTAATACAAAAGTTATAGGTTATCTCTATTATGTTTTGTCAGAATGGGCGAATGACAGGTGCTAACTGTCATAATGACAGCACTTGCATTTTTTTCAATTGAACACCCTGTATATTTTTGGCTAGAATGATAGATTTTTTTCTTCTGATTCCAAATATACCACATATGTTGATATTTGGTTCCGCTGTTTTGGCGCTATTTCATTTTAAAATTGCATTGAGCAAGCCTCATCATTGATAATTATTAGAAACCGGGAACAGACCTAATTTAGGGTATATAAATGCATTTTTAAACTTGAATAGCGTGAACCAGCTGAACCAAGTATCAACATATATGGTATATTTGACATCAGAAGGAAAAAATCTATCATCCTAGCTAAAAATATACAGGGTGTTCTACACTTCGCATCAAAATTAACGCACCACTAAAATTTGGCACAATTTCAAATTTAATTTTCTCGGAAACTGCTGAATCGATTTGGACATATTTTTTTTTTAATTGTAGCTTAAATCTTCAGGAATGACTCTGTAAAACAACTTTTCATTTGAATCGAAGTTTTAGGCATATACAGGGTGTTTTAAAAGAAACCAGTTTGATGCCTAATTTTTGTCACATCCTGTGGGACTTTCCATCTGCACCAATAGATGTCTATCTAAATCAAAACATAGCCCCATCTTTTCTGAGCATTTTGTTTTTTTATTCACGTTTCTAGCTCTGTTATTTAATGAAATATGGAGTTTGAAGTTAAAAGCGTTTATTTGAGATTATTCAAGAAAAAGTTTCGGAAGTTAACAAAACAAAAACAAAATTATTGAAAAAATAATGTGGAAAAAAGAAGAAAGAAGAAGAAGAAGAGTTATAACCGTCAGGTAAGTAAATCTAAGTAGGCCATGGAAAACAAAGGCGCGATATTGTCATGGAAACAGAGACTACTGTCTTTATCTGTCAGTGATTTTTGAATTTATTCTGTAATTTCTCTGCATTTGGTGTTATCATTGCAAAATATGGAGCGTCAAACAAGAAATTTAACTCGAGATGATTGTGTGATGGCGACTACATTGATCCAGGAAGGAATGGGCTACCGAGCTGTAGGTAGAAGATTGGGTGTTTCTCATTCGACAATATTGCGCATATTTCGCCGTTTTGAAGAAACCAATGACCACAACAGGCGCCGTGGACAAGGAAGAACTCGGGGAACAGCGGCTATCCATGACCGATTTTTGCAACTGAATGCGTTGAGGCAACGTTTTGTGACCTCAAGACAACTAAGGGTACAATTAAATACTGCTCACAATATCAACGTTAGTGTATCAACTGTAAGGAGACGTCTGGCAGAAAGAAATTTAAGGTTCAGAATTCCAGCAAGAGGACCAAGGTTAAATGCAGACCATATACGAGCAAGACTTCAATTCGCCAGGGAACATGTAAACTGGAATGCTGAAGATTGGGAGCGAGTTCTGTTTACAGATGAGACAAGGTTTTGTCTTTACAGCAACGACCGACGAGTAAGGGTTATTCGACGACCAAATGAACGTTACTCGCAGTGTAATATTCGCCAAACCGAGTTATTCAATGGAGGGTCTGTGATGTTTTGGGGCGGAATCTCCTTAACTGCTCGTACTGACATCGTGTCTTTGCGTGGAGGACCTTTAAATAGTGCAAGGTACATCACGGAAATTTTGTCAGAGCATGTGGTCCCTTTCGCTGGGTATATTGGGGATAACTTTTCACTAATGCAAGATAACGCCAGACCACACACTGCGAGAATAGTGCGAGATTATTTGAATGAGGTGGATATTGAGACTCTGGACTGGCCTTCACGCAGTCCAGATCTCAATCCTATAGAACATTTATGGGATCAAATTGGTAGGCAGCTTAGAGATCATCAACCCCTACCTGTGTCTTTGAATGATGTAGAAAACTTTGTTCGAGAAATTTGGATTAATATCGATCAAGAACAAATAAGACGTCTGGTTCAAAGTATGGGTCGTCGATGTCAAGCGGTAATAGAGAGTAGGGGAAGAAACACCCGATATTGAATGTTTTTTTTTTCCACATTATTTTTTCAATAATTTTATTTTTGTTTTGTTAACTTCCGAAACTTTTTCTTGAATAATCTCAAATAAACGCTTTTAACTTCAAACTCCATATTTCATTAAATAACAGAGCTAGAAACGTGAATAAAAAAACAAAATGCTCAGAAAAGATGGGGCTATGTTTTGATTTAGATAGACATCTATTGGTGCAGATGGAAAGTCCCACAGGATGTGACAAAAATTAGGCATCAAACTGGTTTCTTTTAAAACACCCTGTATATGCCTAAAACTTCGATTCAAATGAAAAGTTGTTTTACAGAGTCATTCCTGAAGATTTGAGCTACAATTAAAAAAAAAATATGTCCAAATCGATTCAGCAGTTTCCGAGAAAATTAAATTTGAAATTGTGCCAAATTTTAGTGGTGCGTTAATTTTGATGCGAAGTGTATTTAAAAAAATGCAAGTGCTCTCATTATGTCAGTTAGCACCTGTCATTTGACCGTTTTGACATGTACGAACGATAATAGAGATTATTTCATTCATTATAAAATAGACCCGAGTGACAACGTCATTTTTTGAATGAATTTTGTTTAAATAAGTGATTATTTCACAAGACCTTGTTTATCAGCGATTAAATTTTTGTTTACCTTTTTTGACAGAATGTTGATAGGAATATTCTGACATTTTATAATAGATGGAACTCTTTGGATAGGATTGACGACAACAATTCAATCCTAATTATTCAGGAAATAATCTAGCCGTATACCACTCGACCTATAAATTTAAATGGATTAAACTATCCAAATATTTTTTGCATAATTTTGCTTTTTGGCAAATAGTTTCATGCACAATAACTTTTAAATAAAATCCCTCGACCGCTTCGCGGTCTTGAGCTTTTATTAAGTTATTGTGCATTCAACTATTATCCAAGCAAAATCATGCTCAAAATATGTTGGATAGTTTAATCGATTAGATTTAAAGCTCTTGTAATATAATGTATGAGAATTTCATACATCTGTCTGGTATTCCAACAATAAATTGACATGTTTTGATTGTTGATTTGAACCAATCAGATTGTAATTACGCGATAATTTGCACTAGTGCAAATTATCAGATAATTGCATACTAACTGGTGCGACAACTGGTGTTTTGACATTTTTTGACAAAAAACTTAAATTTT